TGTACAGTGGCATCTCAGGTTAAGTACTTAATTTGCTCCGGAGGTCCGTACTTGACCTGAAACTGTTCTTAACCTGAAGCACCACTTTAGCTAATGGGGCCTCCCGCTGCCGCTGTGCCACCGGGAGCACGATTTCTGTTCTCATCCTGAAGCAAAGTTCTTAACCCGAGGTACTATTTCTGGGTTAGCGGAGTCTGTAACCTGAAGCGTATGTAACCTGAGGTACCACTGTACATTGAAATTCCTCAGTATGCCCTGAAGGTCTTGCTGAAGCTAAGCAGGTCAAGGTCTGGTCAATACCTGGAACCCCATGCGATGGAGGAATGGCATCTTACATGATGGAAGAAAGATGGAACAGGAATATAAGAAAATGAAAAGGAATGAAGTGTTGAACAAGGTAACCCCACTGAATTCAACAGGGCCGATGTATCAGGAGGCAATTTTGGACTGGGCTCTTAGTCTTTCAGGTGTATGCTTTGTGTAGTAAAGATGAGCAGAGCCACAATACCTTTAAGAAGTGTATAGACATGGTAACCTCTACAGTTTTCCTTTTCATAGCTTTTCTTGCAAGTTCATCATGCAAAACTATTGATTTGCACAATTTCTCCTACACGGGTGTTTCAGTACTCACAATTTCTCCTGTAACAAAGAGCCGTTGATCCAGATCCATTTCTTCTTTGGCGATGACACGATAAGTCCAATCCATACTGATTTCCCATTTTTCTGGATGAATTCCTATAAAATATGATTGAATTACATAAACACAGTGTTTTTTTTCTTTAAAAATGTTTAGGTGTACTCTCATTTTCCTACTTGTATTGAAATACTGCCCCTCAATGAGGCCAAACTTAGATTCACAAAATGTTTAGGGGTATGCGTCCCCCTGTGTACCCCCCAGAAAAAACACTGCATTAAACAGGATGTGGACCCCAAGCAAAGACCTTGCTGTGTGGTGGACGGGGAGCTGGGGAATAGGTCTTAGCACATAGCTTTGTGGGTGAGTGGTTCTCAGATCCAGGGAATAGACCAGGGACGCGGGTGGCGCTGTGGGTAAAACCACAGTGCCTAGGACTTGCTGATCAAAAGGTTGGAGGTTTGAATCCCCGCGACGCGGTGAGCTCCTGTCCTTCGGTCCCAGCTCCTGCCCACCTAGCAGTTCGAAAGCATGTCAAATTGCAAGTAGATAAATAGGGACCGCTTTATAGTGGGAAGGTAAACGGCGTTTCTGTGTGCTGCGCTGGTGCTGGCTCGCCAGATGCAGCTTCGTCACGCTGGCCACGTGACCCGGAAGTGTCTCCGGACAGCGCCGGCTCCCGGCCTCTTGAGCGAGATGAGCGCACAACCCTAGAGTCGGGTCACGACTGGCCCGTATGGGCAGGGGTACCTTTACCTTTACCTTTATGTAGCTTGGAGGTACTACATCTTGAACCACTGTTGTCACTTGAGGTGCAGGTGGCCTCTGTGGCAAGGAGCACCTTTTAATCAGCTTTGGCTTGTAAGTCAGCTGTGGCTAATGGGTCAGATTCAACTAAAGAGTTGTGGGATATATGGCCACTGAAGCAGTCAAATGCAACATTTCCTGTTACCTAGAGTGGATAGGTACACAGGGGAACGTTGCTCCAGACAGGGAGGACTTCCTGTCATACCTGCTCTGGAGCCTCCTCCCCCTGCGTGTGACCAGGTAGATGGGCGTTACCCTAGCAGACCCTACAAAAGGTCTAGCCAGACAGCCATCTTCCCCTTTTCCATTTTCTCCTTTCAGACTCCTCTTCTGACTCTTACATTGCTCATCCTTACAGAGGATGGAAGCCACAAGGCCTAGCTCAGACTTCTTTGCTCTCCAAATACTGCTATGAACTGAATGTAAGTGAACTTTACTCTTATTTTTAAAGATGACTGTTGTGTTATTATTATTTTAGGAGGGAAAACTTACCAGGAACATTCTAGACTGGACAAGCCAGATTGGATCGCTTAACTTAAATGAATGCATCAACTTGCTTCCGGCAATGTGCAAGGAAATGTGCTCTGCTGCTTACTCACTAGCATGAGTGAGGAAGGACAATACAGTGGTACCTCGGGTTAAGAACGTAATTCGTTCTGGAGGTCCATTCTTAACCTGAAACTGTTCTTAACCTGAGGTACCACTTTAGCTAATGGGGCCTCCCGCTGCTGCCGCACCGCCACCACACGATTTCTGTTCTCATCCTGAAGCAAATTTCTTAACCCGAGGTACTATTTCTGGGTTAGCGGAGACTGTAACCTGAAGCGTCTGTAACCCGAGGTACCACTGTATTTAATCAATACATCCTCTCCTACTTTCCTCAACATTCCCACAATAACTGCATTAGTAGTTGTCAGTGCAATGACTCCTGCTTCCTCCCCCAAATTGGCTCGGGGGGGGGTCAGGAGAACCCCAGAACAGCACATGGGGGGGGAGAGGACGAGATAGTTCCATCAGGCAAGCAAAGATGCTTGCTCTGATGGAGCGACTTCCTTAGCAATACTTTTAATCTTTCCCCATCTAAGGTAGCTACATGCACTGCTGTTCATGTGTTGATAACCTTCTGACTAGATTACTGCAACATGCTTCCTTGGGATCTGGTTGGCCACTGTGGGAACGGACTGCTACACTCAGATGAACCTTTGGCCTGATCACCTGGGTTCCTCTTATGACGTGTAATCACATGAACAGATGGATCTCCCCATACGTACTTCAGTGCCCCTTCAAAACTACAGTGTAGTGCAGTGTTTCCCAACCACTGTTCCGCGGCACACTAGTGTGCCGCGAGATGTTGCCTGGTGTGCCGTGGGAAAAATTAAAAAATTCGAAAGATTTTTTTTTTAAGTCACATTTTTGATTGGGGCACCGTCACTAGATGACCCCTGGGGTTCCCTCCCTCCCTCCCGCTCTGCGCCTCCCTCCTCCTCCTCCTCCTCCTCCGGGGAGGCCCTTCCTGGCTCTCGGCCAAGGCTTGGCGGCTGCCACTCACTCGCTCGCCCACCCGTCCCTCCATCCCTGCACCCGGCCTCTCCCCCTCCGTCCCCGGCGCGGGGGCTGCCGGGATCCGTAGTCCCCTCGCCCATGGGCTCCGCGCCCGCACAGGGTGCGCAAACTACGTTTCCCAGCGTGGCCTGGCGGGCCGGGCGTTTTGTTTGAAGCGCTCTTCTCCCGGCCATGGAATGAGCGCAGCGGCGGCGGCCGGGTGGGCAGGGGCTCTTCCGCGCAGACCCCGCGCAGCCTGCCTGCGCCCCCACGGAGATCGGGCGGCAGGATGGAGCCCGGGGATCCCCGCGGAGGCGGAGCGGCGGAGGCTGCCCCCCAGGTAGGGCTGCGTCGGGGTTTTTTTATTTTTTCAATGCTGCATCCGCGCCAGAGGGGACGCATCGGACCGCGGGGAGACCCCTTGGCGTGCGTGCAAGGCAATGCATGCGTGCAGGCGTTGCATGGAGTGCAGTGCAATGCAATGGCAACGCGGCGCCCTGCATGCATGCATGCAACTTCCACCGGCGCTCCGGACTTGGCAGGTGAGGGGGGTCCCCAGTGGGCGGCGGAGAGAGCCGGGAGGGCGAAGGGGAGTCGGGGGGGAGCAGCGCTGCTCCCCGAGCCGAGCCCGGGGGGAAACTTCGGCGTCGTTGCGCCGGGTGTTGGAAGCGGAGGCTGGCGGGGGCCCCTCACCTGCAAAACCTGGTCGCCTCTCATATATTTCGTGCATTGCATTCATCGCCCGCTTTCTCCTCCAAGGAGCTCCCGGGGGCGCGCATGGTTCTCCCCGTGTTATCCTCGCAACAACAGCCCTGCGAGGTGGGTCAGGCGAGTGGCCCAAGGGAGCACCCAGGGATTGTCCTGGCCAGGTGGGGTGATTTGAACCCTGCTCTCTGCCCGGTCTTCGTCCTCATTTAGCCCCCACATGTGCATGACTGTGCATGACTGAGGTTTTCCCCCCTTGTCTTGGCTATGGTGTGAGTCTGTGCTGTTAATTAATGGGGTTCTGCCTTCGGAGAAGATGAGCCAGCCCTCAAGGAGGTGATTATGTAATTTGCTAGCAATTCATGTCCCTCCCGGCGTGACGCTGCGCGCTGACGTCACGGGGCTGTAATGGTGGTGTGCCTCGAGATTTTTTCATGAAACAAGTGTGCCTTTGCCCAAAAAAAGGTTGGGAAACACTGGTGTAGTGTATACATCCCATTGTGATCACATTGCTGACTTACGCATTAATAAGGGCAAAAGAGTAAACATTCTGTAACAGAGATAAAAGTGTGAAAGAGTAAAATTCCTTGTCTGGATTGAATATTTTGTACCTTTTCCTCCTGATTATCAATTATTAGTAGGTGAGACTTCTTAGCTATACAGTCTTCCTTGCTCTTCTCCCAAGACTGAATCGTTTCAGAAAACCAGTAGCATTTATTGTTGTGCAGACGCCACTGCGTGGGGCACAGGTGGCAGCTTCCATCCCCTAAGAAGAAAAATTCCCATTGTTTTTAATTTGGATTTATACCTCACACAATCTGTACTTTTCAGGCGAGTCTTTTGTCAGTCAGCTTCACGAGCGCTCTCACAGCAGATCTCTCGCAGCAGTTTGCAGAATGATGTTATTTGCATATTATTGATTATTAGCTGGAGAATAACAGAAGTCCCGGTGGTTTAGTTGTAAATGTATGGTATTCTGTCAGTTTCAAAGAACTGAAGCTCAGCAAACAGAATGTGGCAAAGATATGCACAGGGCAAACCAAACCTCAGGATGGGAGCAGGGCTACATATAAGCAGTTGTTCCATTATCCCTCCCCTCAGTTACTCATTTTCCCATGTTAAGTTCAATTCTCTACGTTTCAAAGCAGTTTGTGATTTGGCTGCCACTACCAGCAGTGGAGAGATGGGTGGAGAAGGCCTTTTGCACCAGTCTAGTGACCTCTCCTTCCCCATTATAACACTAGGGGGTTAGGATTGCGCCCATAGTGCCTGTGAACTCTAGAACAGCGGTTTCTCAACCTGGACCAAAACTGATGTTGTGATGAATTTTTTTCTGGCAAAAGCACAGAACTGATGTTTCAGACTCTGAAGAGGCTTTCATTTCATTAGAAATAAAAGGAGTCACAAAGATAAAACAGGGAAGTGGAAAACAAATTAAGTACAGCTTGGCTGGACAAAGTATCCGATTAAAGCACACGATTAAGTGGTATTTAGAAAGGGTGTTTTCTCACCACATCACCTAGCCATACTGTGCTTGATTCTGCAATCCAGTGATCTGCTTTCAACATATCTCAAGAAACTGCAAAACTCTGTAACTAGAGCTGAGTAGCATTTATTGTGAGGTCTGTGAATCCTCCTGGGAGAAAGAAAAGATGGGTTTCTATGAAACTGAAAAGACAGAGCAAAAGCTCCCCATGAATCCAGATGCAGCAGAGAATGGGGAATGTAGGGGAATCATAAGTAATGGAAGCACCAAACAAGCAAGAGAAGTCTTCTCTCTGAAACAGGGCCATTGTGTAGATGGTAAGTGAGTTCTGATGAGAAAGGCATGAGTTTGTCAGAAAAAGTTATGGATTTGCTGCTGGGATGAGAGCTGCAGAATGCAGGCCAACTAATCAAATTCATGGAGACGCTAATTTATTCAGGCAATCAAAAGCCATTGGAAAAGGATAGGTACATAGACACTTGTGTGAAAATTGAGGAAGGCTTCTCAGACTCTTCTTAGTTCCTCTCTCAGATGGAACTATCCTTCCTCACGCAGGCATGCATAAGGAGAAGGGGGTGAGGCTGCCCTTGAGGAGAGAGATTCCTGGCTGCTTTTCCAGTTCCCCTTCCATGTACACCAAGAATGGAGAAATTGTGGCTCGCCAGATGTTGCTGGATTCCAACTCCCTCCAATCACTCCCTGCCAGCATGGCCTATTATTATTATTATTATTATTATTATTATTATTATTATTATTAGAATTTATATACTGCCCTATACCCAGAATTCTCAGAGTGGTTCAAATAAATAAATCAGAATATAAAACCAGAAAATACATAATCAAAATAAATAAAAATAATGGTCAGGAATGATGAGACCTGTAGACCAAAAACATCTGGAGGACCACATGGTCCCCAATACTGCTGTTCGCAGACCTAGATAGACACTGATACGTGAAGAGACCAGGAATCTGCAAGTGCAGGCGCATGGTCCACAGTATTTACTAGCACAGTGGCACTTTAAGGCTTTGTTGTTGTTGTTGTTGTTATATGATGCCCATCTGATTGGGTTGAATGGTATACATTACAGTAGACCATACTGAAATTTATATTTGAGTGGGTGATTTACCGGTATATTTTTTAAATAAATAAATAAATAAATAAAATTCTCAGCGAATTGAGAAGCAACCAATACTGTGCAAATCCCCTGGCAGAGAACCCCTGTAAGACTGCCTGCACAACTTTGCGTTATACAACACTATTTCAGAACATATCTTTCAAAACATATTGGTTCCTCTTTCTTCCAGGAACCCAATCTGACCAACCAAGTGTTGCCATGTTTACATGCTGGTGACATGGCATTAACTGATAAAAAAATTATCTGCTGAAAGCAGACACTCAGAGCTGCATATTGCTGATGAAGCACTTTGCTGGCTAGTCCTTACATTTGGACCTGGTTTTCTTTAACTGTCAGTTATGCCATCCTCAGCATATAATTAATATACCAACCTTAGTACATCTGTTAATCCTGGTCCGTAAACCACGAACTGCTATTTTGATTTATTTGGTTGAGGCAAGCTTGAAAATTCACTATCCTGCATTGAATGAATAAAGCTTCTTCTAGCATAGGAAAATGTTGTTTGGTTTAACAATTCATTTTAATGCATTTTGTTTTGCACATTAATGGATCTACCTGTGATGTGTTGGAACCAACCCTATGTTATACAGAAATGTGCAAGGGCTTAAACTGTATGCCCTTAATGGTTTGTTTTACAATCAAGATTAAAATGGTTTCAGGTTATTCGCTTGAGGTTGCTGTGCTAGCCTGAGATGCATGAACAAAATATCCCATTCTGTTTCTACATAGGACAGAGATCTCCTGTCACTTCCATGCTGCCAGCAACAAAAACTTTCAACTACTGTTTTGATGGCAATTCAGATGCTCTAAAAGGGATGGGTAACTTGTGACCTTCGAGATGTTGTTGGACTACTATTCCCATTACCTGTGACCACTGGCAATGATGGCTGGGACTGATGGGAGTCCAGCAACATCTGGGGGGCTGCAAGTAACTCACCCCTGCTCCAAAGCCCTGTGTATACAGTTATAATATAGTAGTATATGACACTGCAACTCCCTTGACTGACACTGTTTTCTGGTTACAATCTTGGCAGCCAGGGGATTTAACAAGGCTGCCACTATTAGGCAAGCATAACTTCTGGAAGTCCACCTTAGCAGGACAGATGTTACAACAGCTGCATTGCCAGGAGGTAGGCTACTTACTAGTTCTGGATGGGATTACAAGGTCTCTAAAAGAGCAAGTACTCAGCTTATAGAAACTGTTAAATTTCAAATTTCCCTGCTTGCACATGCATACATACATTGGCTAACCGTTAATGATTCACACAACGGGTTGTGCTGCCCTCTGTCTTCCAGCATAGTCCGTGTGGCATTTGGCATGTATCACATTCCATCATAGCTGTCAACTTTTCCCTTTTCTTGTGAGGAATCCTATTCGGAATAAGGGAATTTCCCTTTTAAAAGGGAAACGTTGACAGCTATGTATTCCATTCAGTTCTTGCAGTCCCTTCAACTTTTGCTCTTAAAAAGAAACTGGATTACTACAGTGCTCTATGTGGGGCTGCCCTCCAGCCTAGCTGTGAAGCTCTAGATTTTGCAGAATGCCTAGACCTCTGATGGAGGCAGATGGTTGACAGTACGTGACATCTCTGCTAAAGTGTTTGCAGCGGATGCACATAACATTGCTAAGCCAGGTTCAAGGTCTACATCAAGCATAGGCAAACTTGGCCCTCCAGCTGTTTCAGGACCACAATCCCCATCATCCCTGACCACTGGTCCTGTTAACTAGGGATGATGGGAGTTGTAGTCCCAAAACAGCTGGAGGGCCAAGTTTGCCTATGCCTGGTCTACATATACAAAGACCAAAAGAACTTTGGTCCAGGGTACCTTAAGAGCCACCTGAGGCTCTTATATCCCAGCTTCATCATTAAGATCATCCACAGGAGCACATCTGGTTGTCTCCGTGTCTCAGAAGCTCAAGTGACCTCAGCTAGAAGTTGGGCATTTAGCGCCACCAGTTCAGGCTGTGAAAGGCTCTTCCAGCAGAGACATCAGGCATCATTCATTTCTGACTTCCAGGCATCTCTTGAAGACCTCTTCTTATGCCAGCAAGCCTATACATCTGTTTAAAATGTTGTTTTCCAGTTATATTAATTATTATTATTATTATTTACTATTTCTACTGGTGATTTTTGTTATATTGCATACCGTATCGGCCCAAATATAAGCTGCACCCAAATATAAGCCACACCTTTAAAATTAAAGGGGGGGGAGAGAGAAAATGCTCTCTCCAAGCCCATTTTTGTAAGGTCGCTAATATATGCTGCACTTTAACTTTTCACTGTCAGAATTTGGAAAAAAGTGAGGCTTATATTCAGGCCTATACAGTAAACATTGTGCGTCTCCTTGATAGTTTAGGAGATTGTGGCATGTGAATACTTTTTAATAAAATAAATAACTGGTGACTCGCCAGCCATGCGCAGAGGCCTACCACTTGGCTGACTTTGTGGTGTGAGGCACCAAGCCTATGAGCTTCATGATGCCACAGGTGAACTTGGTTCATCTCATACCCGTCCAACATCCCACTGACCAAAATTGGGACATTTCTTTTTTTGGTCCCCAGCTGACTTGCACTACAAGTCAGACTCAGACCAAAAAATGGGACATTCTGGGATGCAATCAGAAGCCAGGATTGGCTTCTGTAATTCCAGGATGTCCCGCATAAATCAGGACTGTTGAGTGGTATGACATCTTGGTGTGATGCAACCTTGAACTCACACCTTCAGTGTTGGTGGACTACCCAAGCCTTGGTAGACTTGGAGCCCCCCAGATACTTTGGAGATTCTAGAAGAACTTGTCCGGCATCTTGCTGAAACCAAGGACACATTAACACTTTATTTCCCTCTGCAGGTTTGTGCAATAATGGAAAAGGGAAACTCACTTTTTCTGTAATGATTGTGAGCTTGGTGCTTAATGTCATTCTGATCATTTCCACCATCATCATCATCGGTAGCACTGCTTTATCAGGTAAGTGAAGAGCCATTTTGCTGTAACTTCTGCCAGGTTATCAACAGGCCACCTGCTCTCACAGATCTCCTCTCCTCAGCAGGTAGAATAGCTGTATTGGTGTTCAGCTGAGGTAACCTGGAAGCAGTTGCAGATGGAGGCCCACATTCAGGCAAGGAGGACTTCATGTACTGTAATAACAGACCAATATGCACACACAATATACACACACAATACACACACAATTTCAAGTGATTTAAATTGTACGATACAATTCTAACCAAAAGCCTATCTCAGGGAGAGTCAACTAGACCCTGGCTGTGTATTTCATGGATAGCCAATTAACTATCTATAGTTGAGCCACAAGAGAAGCTGCTCTATGTCCTGCAAGCTCCTGAGTTTGTGGGCAGAGATGGGCACTGGGTTGTCTGCCCTCCCTCCTACCCTCATTTCCCCACCCTTATCCAGCCCCGCCCGCAGATGATGGGGGTTGACCGGAGACCTCCTGCACACAGTTTTGTGTGTGTGGTGTATTTGCAATTATGTTGTTATACTGTATTTTTATGTGATTGCTCTTATGATGCTTGAGATGTGTTCCCATTTACTTTCTTGCAAGCTGCGTTGAGCAGGATTTCTTTTGTGGAAAGGCAGCACACAGATATAATGTTGATGAGTGGAGTACATTGCCTGACCTTTATTTTGGGTAGGACTATTTATAAGCTATGGATAGTGATCTGTCTCACTTTCTGACACCTTTCTAGAAAGTCATGCAGTATTGCCAACCGCCCTACCTTCTCCTTGCACTTCAACTGAGTACTGTCCGGACGGCTGGATTGGCTACCAAAGGAAATGTTACTATTTTTCGGACAGTTACAGAAACTGGACATATAGCCAGAATTATTGTGCCTCTTTCAATGCCTTTTTGGTCGTGATTGACTCCCAAGAAGAGATGGTGAGTGGAAAGATACAGAGCACAGTCTGCAGCCCCAAATGCAGTTGATTCACAATTGGATGAGGGTTGGAAATGTATTTTCTTTCTTTCTTATTTATTTATTTATTTATTTATTTATTTATTTATTTTCTTTATTAAGAGCTTTTTGAGACGGTACAAAGGTCCTGCTGACTACTGGATTGGTCTCCAAAGGATGAATGACCAGGAGCCTTGGAAATGGATCAATGGCACCATTTTCAATAACTGGTGAGCATCCACAATGAAAATGTGTAATAAACAAGTCCCTTAAAACAGTGTAACAGTTAAAATAGTTTGAGTGAAAAGATCAAGGGAATGCTTGCCCAAACAGGTGTGCTTTGAGGAGCAACATATGCAGTGGTTTTTAATATAGAAAATAAGGTGCCAATATTCACCATGAAGTTCTTACAGCAAGTGCCACGCTTTTAACATTTGGAAAAGAAAAAAGGGCACAGGTACTGAGTACCATTGAGTACCCTCTGAAAAAGCACTACGTATATTCCACAAGGGCTACAAAGCTCCTGGTCCTAGCCTAGTGGCATGCAGTCAATGAACTAGGCGCAGGGGTCAGTAAACCTTTTTAGCAGGTGGCTGGTTCACTATCCCTCAGACCTTGTGGGGGCCGGACTATATTTTTTTGGGGGGTAAAATGAACAAATTCCTATGCCCCACAAATAACCCAGAGATGCATTTTAAATAAAAGCACACATTCTACTCATGTTAAAACATGCTGATTCCTGGACCGTCCGTGGGCCGAATTGAGAAGGCGATTGGGCCGGATCTGGCCCCCGGGCCTTAGTTTGCCTACCCATGGACTAGGAGGACTAGGCTAGTCCCCTAAATGTTCCCAGTAAATAAGAGTATTGACGTATTAAAAGCTGGCGCCTCCTTTCCAAAGCCCAAGAAGCTTTTGCCTGGCTTAGAGAGGGAGGCATGATGCCTGTGTTGGATGTGGCAATGTTGCAACTTCAATTGTTCTCCACCCCACCCCAATCACAAGCTGGCGCCACTTGTCCTAACTGTTCCCCTACAAAAAAGTCCACAACACACCACTGTCAAAGGCACATTTGTAGTTTCACAATTGTTACTAGTACAGTGGTACCTCGGGTTAAGAACTTAATTCGTTCCAGAGGTCTGTTCTTAACCTGAAGCTGTTCTTAACCTGAAGCACCACTTTAAGCTAATGGGGCCTCCCGCTGCGGCTGTGCCGCCGCCGTGCTTTTTCTGTTCTCATCCTGAAGCAAAGTTCTTAACCTGAAGCACTACTTCTGGGTTAGCAGAGTCTGTAACCTGAAGCGTATGTAACCTGAAGCGTATGTAACCCGAGGTACCACTGTAGTCTGCCTGAATGTTGAGGAACTGATCAGAAGCCTTCTCGCTTATTATACACAGAGCTCCACCTTGTGGTGAGCAGCACACATAGACGTTCATTTTCAGTCATAGCGCAGCAAGAGTTTGATGTTTCCTCTCTGGGCCAGATTCTAAAGAAAATATTTTGGTGGAAAAGCTGCTTAGAAATATGAATATTTGTATTATATGAATATGAATGCAATTGTCTTCTTCAGGTGAAAATTTCCTTCCAGGCCTCCCTGCACCTATGCTTGGCGTTTCTCCCGCTGCTTGATTTATGCTAGTTCTCAGGGATATTTCTATGGATATTTTCTATGGATTGTGGTTAATGGGTTGAGGTTGAATTCCAACAACACAGAAGTACAGATTCTGGGGGACAGCGGGCGGGCATGTTTGGGGGATTTCCTGGTCCTGAATGGAGTTACTGGGCCCCTAAAGGACCAACTGTACAGCCTTGGGGTCATCTTGGACTCACAACTGTCCATGGAGGCTCAGGTCAATTCTGCTGGCTCCATCTGGTACACCGGCTGAGACCTGCCTGTGCACTGTCTCACCAGAGTGCTGCATGCTCTGGTTATCTCCTGCTTGGACCTGCCTTATATAACTGATCACACCATTTGAGTGGCAGTGGCCATTATTTTTGGGGGGCAGCCCCCTCAAATATTTTATTGGGGGACTGAAGGGATCTCGGCACCTAGGAGTTGGGGCCTTTGATGATAACTTTTAAAGCTCTAAATAGCTTTGGCCCTGTATACCTGAAGGAGCATCTCCACCCCCATCGTTCAGCCCAGACACTGAAGTCCAGCTCTGAGGGCCTTCTGACACTTCCCTCACTGCAAGAAGTGAAGTTACAGAGAACCTTCTTGGTAGTGGCCCCTGCCCTGTGGAACGCCCTCCCATCAGATGTCAAGGAGATGAAGAACTGTACAACCTTTAGAAGACTTCTGAAGGCAGCCCAGTACTGGGAGTTTTTAATGTTTGATGTTTTATTATGTTTTTAATATTTTGTTGGGAGCTGGCCGGAGTGGCTGGAACAACCCAATCAGATGGGTGGCATATAAATAATAAAACTATTGTTGTTATTATTTCAACATATGTTCTGTTTGAAATTTTAGGTTTAAAATTCGGGGAGGAGGAGAATGTGCTTATATAAACCATCAAGGTGTTGCCAGCTCCAGCGGCCGAAGTGAAGAACCCTGGATCTGCAGCAAACCAGTTCAGATGACAAAAGGCACTGGATGTGCACTGAGCGGACTTACAACATACATAAGCACCCCTAACTACATTTTCTAGGATTCTTTGGGGGAACCCAGGACTTCTGAAGTGGCAGTGCTTGAAATGTATGGTGTTGATGTGCCCTTTTACAGTAATCTGAAAATAAGACCTTCTGGAAGAAGAAGTAGCTTACTGATGGCACGTTGCCTGCATTTTGGCAATTGTGGACAGACAATGGCATTTGGAAGCGAAAATCACAGTCCCCATAACACCCAGGAGAAAAGAAACGCACAACAAATAAGGCTACTTTACTTTTCACCAGATGTAACTGTAGGGATGTTGCTTGCCCAGAATTGGAAAAATGACAAGATACTTACCAGGTGGACTATTGGATTACGCAGAGATGGCAAGACTAACCGGGAAAATCAGAAGGATCAAAACTTCAATAAAGAATGTGACAAATTTATATCTGAAAGACCACTGTAAACACTTGGACTCTTTGGCAGGTTTCAAATTATTCTTGCAATGATACATAGACTTTGGATATAATTGTTGTTGTTGTTGTTTAGTCGTGTCCGACTCTTTGTGACCCCTGGACCAGAGCAGGCCAGGCACTCCTGTCTTCCACTGCCTTCCGCAGTTTGGTCAAACTCATGCTGGTAGCTTCGAAATCACTGTCCAGCCACCTCGTCCTCCGTCATCCCCTTCTCCTTGTGTCCTCCATCTTTCTCAGCATCAGGGTCTTTTCCAGGGAGTCTTCTCTTCTCATGAGGTGGCCAAAGAAGGCCTTATAATATGAAGTTATAAAAGTTACTTAAAGAACCCACAGAGGGGAGGAGGGGAGTCTTGAGATTCGAAAAAATCTTGTGCAAATTTTTAATTTTTTTTGTGATTAGGTGTGTGAATCAATCAATGAAAACTATTTTTTAAAAAAATACTTTCCACCAGATGTGAAATATATAGTATATTTGTTACTTTGTGTTTTAATTATAGGTTATATGTTTAATTATATGTTATACAGAAGCATTTCGTGCCTTTTTTGTTGTTTAGGGGGATGGGAATTTAATTGCATGATTGACTGGGCATATAATAGATTGGAAAAGGTGAGTTTTTCTTTTCCTTAATTGACAATTATACTCTGCCTTATTATATCTGCTAATTCTAAATATTCTGAAAGCTTACATAACTATTCTCCCCTAGTGGGTAACTGATTCCCTTTCCAATACTTAGCCACCAGGATTCTTTTTACATATATATATAAATTTTTATTAAAGTTTCACAAATTTTTTAGACAAAGTATAATTTCAAATCCTTATTTTCTTAACATCTTTCCCTGACTTCCCCACACCTCCCCTTCTTGTATTCCAGTTCCAATAGTTAGCTCAACAAGTTCTTGTCCCCAACTTTTACCTTATTATTATTATATTATTATATTTAATTCATCTTAATTAACCAATTTTAACTTATAGACTTCAATTTAAACAACAATGCTCATTCTTTACACCCTTTTCTAAAGTCGACCCAAATTCCCTTCCACGAATTTCCCAATATTTATATTAATTACAAAACAGAATAAAAAAACAACAACATATAATTGTACACCCTTTGGATTCCCAAACTCTCACCCCCCGCTTTCCCGGTTTCGATCCCCAACAAATGTCCATCAGTCTATCCACTATCAGCCTGGAGATCTCACGTCCGAGGCTCTCAATTCTCTCTCAGTCCCTCTCTGCCGGTTTTTTTGGTAGTCCTTTATATTAAACATCAAGTCTCGGAGAAGCTCTGTCCCGATAGGGTCTATGTTTCTTCCAACCAGACCTCCATATTCAAAAGTGGAACCCAAATCTTGTTTCTTGTTCCTTTTAAGTCCAAATGTCCCAAATGTCCCAAAAGCTCCAACTTTCACCTTAATCAAATTTGTAATCCATAGGTCTTCAGATCTCCCCATAAGGAGATCCCTCCATTCTTCATTCTCCAATTCAAACCAAATTCTCATCATCTAAATCTTGTTTTTCTTTGTATCCATCTTAGCAGGCCTCTGGCTCTCCTTTGTCATCTGTGGCATTCCAGCTCCTCCTTCCCTCTCCTCTGAAACAGCACATATCTCTTCTTGTTCAGCTGCATGGGTTTCTTGAGTCAAGTCCTTATCAAATTCAGTAAGTTTGTTTATTTTTAAGTTCAAAATTGTAGCATTTGTAGCCAAAGCTTCACTCTGACCTTGTAACTTTCCCAAGAGAAAAAACATTCTGTCCAGCTCAGCCTGTATTTTTCCACCTGCAGCCATTGTAATGTCTCAGAACCCCCTCTAGAGAGATTCTGGTTACTTAATATTCCTTCCAACTCCAATCCAAAAGTCAAGTTAATTTGTTTCTATTCTTCTTTGTTTTCAACAGTTTAAAATCAAATTGTAACAAAATATCCAGCAAAGATAACAGAAACCAAATTCTCTTTCCCCCCCCAACTTTGACAGCTAATTTGACAGCTGTCAAACTCTTTATGTCTCCTCAACAGGCTCTCTCGCGGATCACTCCCGGGTCCCGGGGGGTTGCACTTCAGCTCTTAAAATCGACTCTTATCCTCCAGCAAAATTACTTATACTGCCAAGTCGTGAAATTAATAACTTTTATCCAGTAAAGAGAAAAATGTTCTCTCGACCTTAGTTATCTAATCCTTGCTTTAGTTTATCTACAGGACGGGAAGACGGACTTCCTTTTTGCGCCTCCCCCGATCGTACCTAATTCAAAAAAAAGGATTTTTAGTTCCAATTTCCGTACTACTCACGGGTTGTTACTTTTAAAGTCCAAATGTTCAAAGAAAGAAGTCAGCGCTCTCCGGCCATGGCATGCGGCTTCGCTCCGTAGGAGAAGCAGTCTACTCTCAGCACCACGCCGCTCCCCGTCCCCCGTTCCGCAGCCTTTAAAAAGGCTCCTTTGCGGGTCGGGGGGCGCAAATGGTGCCCGCCGAGTCACCAGGTCCACAGGCTGCAGCGCCTGTGGTTTCTGAGAGTCTCCGCATCACCGCCGCGGCAAGACCCGTCTTCTACGGAGCCGATTCCCTCCGGAGCTCGGAGGGAATCCGCCATTAGTCGATGGTGCTAACCCGGAAGTCTTAGCCACCAGGATTCTTGCTGCAGATGTCACGTATAAGAAAATTTAGTTTTGTCTTTTGGAATATAGTCGTTTAAAATTCCTAAAAGGAATGCCTCTGGCCTTTTACTATATGATATTCTTAGTATTTTCTTTATTTCTTCGTTGATCATGCTCCAAAATTTCCCAATTTCAGGGCATGTCCACCACATATAGTAGAAGGTTCCTTTTTGTTTTTTATATCTCCACCACTTATTATATGTTTTATTCATTTTTGCCAGCCTTTCTAGCGCCAGGTACCACCTGTGATGCATTTTCATATAGTTCTCTCTTATTAGATAACATGCTGTAAAATTTATATTTTTTGTCCATAATCTTTCCTATTCATTATATTCAATTGAGTGGCCCAGATCTTGTTCCCATTTTTTTAATAGTGTCACCTTTTTCCTCCTTTTCTATTTTTCCATTTTGTAACCATTTATATATTTTTGAGAGAGTCTATTGGTTGGTTATAAGATTTCCTTCTCCCATACCGAGATTTTTTTATCAAACCCCTTGAGTTTATTATCCTTCTCAAATATCGTTATTAATTTGAAATATTCTAACCAATTCACCCCCTCTCTTTTAATTCTTCAAACTTCTTTACTGTCGGGCAATCCTTTATCGCTTCTATGAGTTCCCTATATGTTAGCCAACTGTCTTTCATATTATTTCTATGCATGGCTGATGACTCTATAGGCGATAGCCACCAGGGAGTTGTTTTATTTCTTTCCCAAACTTCGAATAGGGCCTTTCTCACCAAATGATTAGTAAAGCCTCTATGTGCTTTTATTTTATCATGATCCAGGTAGCCATGCCACCCGAAAACTTTGTCCCAGCCCTCCAGGTCTAGGATTTCCATATCTGTCCAACATCCAATCTTTCAGCCACGTCATGCATGTGGCTTCAAAATACAGCTTGAGGTCTGGGACCGCGAACCTGCCCCTTTCTCTGGGCTCCATCAATACTTTGAACCTTACTCTTGGCTTCTTACCCTGCCAAATAAAATTAGAAAGATCCCTTTGCCAGCCTTTAAAACATTTTGTCCCAATAATTATTGGGATCGTCTTGAAAAGAAATAGAATTTTTGGGAGAATTGACATTTTTATCAAGGATAGCCTACCCCATATAGACAAGTTCAAATTATTCCATTTATTTAAATATCCTTTTATTTCCTTCCACTTCCACCAAAAAGTGAAGTGAAAAAGGAATGGGAGTGCCTAAATGAATATCTTAAAAGCCAAGGTTCGAGGACAGAAATCTGGCGGAGTCTGGAATAACTTTGTGAAGTGAAAGGTTAAGAAAGAGGGATTTATATCTAGATGCTAGGATAGAGATGATAAGGAAAACTGGAAGATACAATGAGAGGTAAAGGAGGTGTTGTGGGATTGGTGGAAGTCAATGTTTGTTTTCCTTTTTAGTGTTTATATTATTAATTTGTAAGATATAGATTTATTTTTATATGCTTGTTTTTGTGTTTTGTGTATTGTTATTTTTCATTTTTTGTTGTTGTGTGGAAAATACCAATAAAATTTACTATTTAAAAAAAATTGACAATTATACTGTTTTAAATGTGGATTAAAAATAAATAAATTGTTGGCTATTTTCCCAGACTAACTACAAGCTGTAGTCAAGGTTTGTATTATTATTATTATTATTATTATTATTATTACCTACATTCAGTCTAAAGTCCCAGGGCAGGTTATAATAGTTTTGCAAGGTAGATTCTCAAAAATCCCATACTCTGAAAGATACTGATCTTGTGCCACTAAACAGGTCAAATGCATCACACACATTTTATTTTATTGCCCATTTTATGCAAAAATATATGATAAGTACTTGGCCCCCTTATTGAAGGAGGAGATCCTAAAATATTTCCTACTTTGTTTTGTTAACTGTGCTGTGTACTGATCCATGTATATGATGCACTTTTTCTATGCCAATAAAGGAGATTGATGGGTGGATAGGGTTGCCACCCTTGGTTGGTCAAAATAAAGGACATGTTGTGGAGGAATTGGGGGGGCTAATTGCTGTACCTGGGGCAGAAATAACAAACAAAGCACTCCATTACAATGGTGCATGTGGTTTACAGTGCTATATTCAATAAAAAACAAAGGTACTATGATTTACAATTGTAAGAAAATTTTGCATATTACATCCATAGCTGGGCTTTGTAATGCTGATTGGTTGGACACAAACCAACAAGAAACATCATAGTTACATGGTGTTCACCCCAAGCAATTGCAAGCTCCCTAAGACACATATCTTTTCAGGATTCAGCTTCAGTTTATTGGCCCACATCCAGCCCATCACCACATTCACTAACATCTCAACTGTTTCTCCTCATTCAGATGGAACAGAGAGACATGTCTAGGTGTGGTCTGTGAGAAGTGAAGCGGAGGAAGAGGAGTGCGGGGGGAGCGCACCACCCCCGGCAGCGCGATCCTGGTCAGGTGCCATCGCGGCTCCCCTGCCCTGCCCGTGCTGGGTGTCACGCCCCTGCAGACGACGTGCTGCGCCCCCAGGATGCGCATCACGCCCCTGCGTGCAGTGCGCCCCACCCCCGTCTGCTCTCCACCCTCTGGTGCCGGAGCATGAGAGGGCCTTATCGGTAGTGGCACCCCCCCTCAGTGGGAAGCACTCCCATCAGATGTCAAGGAAATAAATGGCTATACAATTTTCAGGAGACTTCTGAAGGCAGCCCTGTTTAAGGACATTTTTAATGTTAGATGTTTTATTATGTTTTTAATTGTGCTGGAAGCTGCTCAGAGTGGCTGGGGAAACCCAGTCAGTTGGGGGGGGTATTATTGTTGTTGTTGTTTATTTTGCACTGTCAAATTCTACAGCTGATCCGCAATTGTGACTTAAAACCAATCTTTTAATAGCCAACATAAAATGACTTAGAATTCCATTTTAGGTGTGCTACCTCTGGATTTCACAAAGAGGTATTTTGATGACAATAGAATAATACCTTTACATAATCTTCTCAGTCACTCAATGACATTTTTATTATGTGTTCCTAGCAAATAACCAAAACCCACATAATTATTACATTTATCAAACTAAAATATCAGAGTAGGAGAGGGCCTTTCTGGCAAATCCACCTAAGTTCAGTACTGCAGCGTTCAGAGATAATTTTATATCTTATTGCAGCGCAAGAGTTTCCTTTAGCATAGTCTGGTTCTGGAAATCTGTGGAAGAAAAAGGTACATCTGAATATCAGGACTGAAGTCTGTTACAACTATTTTTTCATATTCTTAATAGAAAGCATGAGTGTTCCCAAAATGTACAATAAGCTGGTTGTATGCATTTGAATCCTCCAAACTTGCATCAAAGTGGAGAGAGTGAAGAAAGTCATGCTGAGCTTGATAGTGGGAGCATCGCCACCTTTTTCCTGCCCCAAGACTTTGGGGCCTGGGAAGGAGGATTGCAGCAGTGGTTTATGTTCCAGCAGGGATCTGGAAATCAAAACAGTGGTGGAGCATATGCCCGCAGCACGCTCCCAAAAGGGTGATGCACAGAGGGTGCCCTCCTGCACCACAGTTTAGAGTAGGAGAGGGTTGGGGAAGCTGCTACCCACTCTCCTCCTGCTCTCCACCGCCACGTCAGAAGTGACCAAGTGGCAGAGCAGCGCTGCCTCCCCCTCGCCTGCTCTCCTCCCCTGGCACCAGGCTCAAGCACCATAACCAAGGAGCAGCTCCTTCTAGAGCGCAGCCAGGTTCTGATGAAGGAGCCTGCTGTGGGACGACTGTCTGCACCCCCTCTCCAAATTGCGCCTCCATGCTACGCCTCTGAGTGAAATGAAAATGACCTACCAGTTTGCCACCTAGGAAGAATTAGTGAAATGGGGGCAATGGGGCAGATATAGGAACTTGAGAGCAAGAGTTGGCTTGCTTATCCATATTTGGACCTCAGCACATTCCCAACTACATTAAACCCAAACCGGTCTGTTGGCAACCCCAAAATAAATGGAATGCTGGGGGCGCACCCATCATTAACTGCCAATAACTTGCCAGTTTTCCCTTTCTTTTCTCTTCTCTGATTTTCCTCTAAGGTCAGGCCAATATTTTTGGCCAGTTCTTTTTGACTATTTGTGTGTGTTAGGAGTGAAAGCCCTGAAAATATAAACAGGGTGAGGGTTTTTAAAGAATTCCATGGAGAAGGGTGTTGTCTCTGGTTATGACAAGGAGCATGAGGATTTTCTACTATTCTTTCACTTTGCATTTTTTTAAAAAAAAGTGGGAAGGGTTACACCTCCACTCCCTGCCACTGTCAGGAAAAAGCACCAAGGCAAAAGCCAGCTCCAGATGGCTGGAATGCAAAACAGGATGTTGTGGTTTCTCACTGTACTGTTGGAGAAAAGGTGGAGCCTATTCTCTGTACTGAGCACCGGATGTTAGCTCAGTGTGCCATCTGACCTGTGCTGGAAGTACAGGGGAGGAGTTGTGACTCTTCTAATGGAGACTGAAGGGTGCAGTCACATTTCTATGTACTGTTGAGTGACAGGAATAAAACATGTAGAAAGGACTCCTGTCTGTCTCATTTCTCCTCCCTGGGAGAATGCAGGGAGGGAGAGAAGAAGAGGAAAGCAGAGAGTGTGTTCTTCTCACGACTAATGAGAAGAATCGCTGGGTTTGTTTACCTAGCCTGCTGGAGGTCGCAGACGAAAGGTAAACACAGTATCTCGCTCAATTGCCTCGGGGGAGGCCAGGTACCTCTGCCTGGGAGCCGAAGATACTAACAGCCACTGTGGTTCCATACAGCACTTATAAATAGGGGAAAATGTTCCCGCCAAGACCCAGTGTTCTGGAGAAAAGGGGGAACTTCAATTGAGACCATGAGTGAGGAGCGAAGTGGCCAGTGAATAAAAATAAAAATAGAACTACTTGCATGACTTCATGGTATAGAAACTTGCCATCCCAGACCTTTCCCAATTTCTCAAAAGTCAAAATTGTATGATTTTTTGCTTAGATTAAAAACAATAACAACTCACAGACTCTGATCAAGCTGGGAGCCTGTAATCCAAATCCATTTCTTCTTCGATTTTAATAGTGAGAGTCCAATCCAGTATTTTGAATTTTCAGTAATGCTTTCTATGAAATCCTGCATGAGATAATGTGTTTTTTATAAAAAAATGTTAAATTATTTTCAAGTTGATAACTTCAGAATAAAGCTTACATTAAAGTAAAATAAAGTAGTAAAATGTGAAAGTTGATATTAATTATAACGAAACATTCACCAAGAACAGTAATCAAAGCAGCATTAAGCATTTATAATGCAGGCCTCCCCTATTTACACAGGGTTACGTTGCAAGGAACTGTGCATTTAAGTGAAATTGTGTATATGGGGAACACCACTGAAAAAGCCTCCAAACACGCTTTAAAGCATCCATGGGGAAAAGTTGCTGAAAGGCCATGTGGAATGGGGGGGAAACAAGGGGAACACCAGCTCCTCCTCTCCCACTGCTCCACAACCAACCTCACCTTCCTAAAGAGTCTTTCTAAATAAAAAGAGGACTTGGGCTACAGTTACAGGGATTTACTTGCAACCGGTACTTTGGTTCTCACAAGCTCCCCAAGGCCTTCTCTAGACACTGATTAACTGGCCATGGGTGGGAATGGGATGAAGCACTAAACAAGGCCCTACACTCCACATGCTTCTCAAGTCACCATCCATGATATCATTGCAGAGCTACTAAGCTAGAGTTAAGCTCAGCTGGACTCAGGCTTCCTTCAGAATTAACCTGCATGTGAATGCATTGCCTAAAATATGCAATTGTCCCCTTACCAGCTCCTCCTTGTCTAGGATGACCAGCAGTTGAGAATCCCTTGTTGAACAGTCATGTTGGCTCTCATCCCAGGTTTTCATATTTTCTGATGGCCAGTAGCACTTGTCCCTGTGGAGCTGCCATTGCAAAGGGCACACTTTGCAAGTAGAATTATCTGTGGAAGAAAAGACACTTCATGATTATGACTGGGCCTCCATTTTGATTGTGAAAAACATAACTGCTCTGCAATGGTAAAGACCCAGTGTCACTAGGCTGAGTGAAGTTGTCCAGTAAATTGTTGGTTTGCAAGGTGCTCTTTGAAACTCCTCAAAGTTGGGGTCCAACAACTTTTTATGTTATTCACTTTTTTCTTTACTTTTTTTTTCTTTTCGAAGTGTAGTTACATTTGCCACATTTATTTTGAAGGAAGAGCCCTGATCCAGATTACACTCTCCATTTCCATCAGGTCTCAGGGCTGGCTTCTCACCCAAAAACATGCCCTCTATTTGAGCCAGAAGGGGTTTTTTAGGGGAGAATGGGGGGAGGCGAGACAATAGCTGTCAGGTGGGGAGATAATTTTTATGGGGAACAGGCGTGCAGCTTGATTCAGATTGGCCCCCTTTAAAGCTTCTTTTATAGTCATGATCCAATTCAGTACTCCCTGCACACTCAAAATGCTTTCGATATAAAAAGATACAGAGATCAAAGTACAGATCTCTCACATCATGCCATCGCAAATGCAAGTTGATTACTCACTAGTTTTTGCATCTGAGTGAGTTCAGAGAGAGGAAACTGGAGCCCTCTAGAGGACAAAGGTGGAGATGGAGTTTACAAGACAAATTGCAGCCTTACATGTCCAAGTTGGTCTCCACAGTCTGTCTCATTGTAGCTTCATGTTGACAATACTGTGGTGAGGTGGGGAGTTTTTTGGGGGGCTGTCAGTCTCCCTTATACCCGAGTCCCTTCTAATTCCTGGGGTCCTGGATCCAGAAAAGGTTAAAATCTAATGGAGGATTCCATATTAACCAACCAGGTGAGTTAATAGCCTTAAATGCTGTCCTTGGTATAACAAAGGAAGTGGCTTTGTGCCAGAGGGCAAATGGGTGTGTCTCCCCTCCCTCACCTGGCTCTTAGTGAGAACAGCAATGGCCAGAGTTGAGTGTGACGTTAGCTCTAGAATGAAACCACCAATGCTTGATATTTAGGAGCATAGGGAGCTGTCTTATTCTGAGGGAAACCATGGGGTTCATCTAGCTCAATTTTGTCTACACTGACCATCAGCAGTTTGAGACACCAGGTATGGAATCTGGGACTTTCTGCATCCAAGATTGGTGCTCTGCCACCAAACTATGAGAACACCACCTGGAGTACCGTCTCCAGTTCTAGGTGCCACAATTTAAGAAGGATTTTGACAAGCTGGAATGTGTGCTGCCACACGGGAGATGGAGCAATCCTGTTTTCTCCTGCTCAGTAGTGTTGGACCTGAAACAATGGATTCAAGTTGCAAGGAAAGAGACTCTGACTAATTATCAGGAAAAACTTTCTGATGGTAAGAGCTGTTTGACAGTGGAATGGTCTCCCTCAGGAGGCTGTGGACTCTCCTTCCCTGGAGGTTTTTAAGCAGAGGCTGGATGGCCATCTGTCATGGATTGTTTAGCTGAGATTCCTGCATTGCAAGGAGACCGTTGGGGTTCCCTCCAGCTCTACAATTCTATAAGTCTATGATTCACCCACAATGAATGAGTTTCTTTACAGAAGGTTTTATGCCTCAAAACAACATAGATGTGAACTGAAAGCAAGATCTTACATACAATTGCTATGCTTGAAAGAGTTACAGATAGGTAGCCGTGTTGGTCTGCCATAGTCAAAATAAAAAAATTTCTTCCAGTAGCACCTTAAAGACCAACTAAGTTAGTTCTTGGTATGAGCTTTCGTGTGCATGCACACTTCTTCAGATACGTGTGCATGCACACTTCTTAAGGTGCTACTGGAAGAAATTTTTTTATGCTTGAAAGAGACAGCAGTACAATATATCAATTCTACCTGAGGACCTATTCTGATTTTGATTGCAGAAGTTGAGTCTTAGGGAAGCCCGAAACTTGTCTGTTGAGGCATTGCATCCACCATTGCTCAGTAGAATTTTTCCCTTTTCAGCTTCCAACGGCAAAGCTGCCCCCGCAAAACAAAGTCATTTAAGTGAATGGGCATAATGTTAAGGCACAAATTCGAATTATGGAGGCCAAGGAATGGGGAGAAGAAGATGGATATGATAAGATAATGAAGGCAAGCTGCAAAACAGACCAGGACACTTGTATATTTACTCATTGTGCAGAGGAGGGAATTTGGAAGGAACATATTATCATGCAGGGATGTAAGTAAACACACCTGCCCAAATTCCTCCTATGCAAACATTAGGGAGTCCCTGCTTTCTTTAGACAAGAAAAATGTGGCAATGGGATTTCTATCGGCATTTTTAAGGACAGAAAGATTTTGAAGCTATTTGCTTTCAAAACCAAAATACATGGTTGCAATTGTCCTATTCTTCCCAAAACCACAAAACCAGGAAGCATGCAAGAATAAGGTGCAAAAAATACCTCAAAGATGCCAAGAAAAAGGATGAATCCTTTGCAATTTAAGCATACTGCAAAAAGAAGTAACCTGTCCTTCTTGGAATCTGTGAGATATTTCTCTTTTTTGCACTGTATTCCTCCAAGCACTGAGAAGATCCAAAGGTTCAGTGCTTCCCTAATTTCAGCTTTCTTTGGAAGAAGGTTCCTTCAGGCTTACAGCGTTTTTGTAATAGTTGAATTTATTTACAAATATACAGGATGAGCAGAGGTGACACACCTCTTCCACTTTTTTCTGCCAAAATCTTTATCTGGGCTGCATCTTGGCCTAACACAGACACCAGCTCCCTTCTTCTGATATCTACCAGCAAACCATTACAGTATTAACATAATCGGGAAGAACAGCTTCTTGTTCAGGCCTCAGATACCCATTTTTACCTCAGCTTTTTACCTCAGCTTTTGCCTCACACCTCCCTCACTGACTTTCCCAACTGGCATTACTTCTCCTCACCTTTCAGTCTACTCCCAACTGACAGCCAATCGGAATACGTTGCTTCGCTGACATAGTTTAAAAATGAATTTACCTGGTCCAAGTTTTGTCTAAAAACATTAAAAGAGGCAACACATGTACTTTTGTAAACTAATACAGTGGTACCGTGCATTAAGTACTTAATTCATTTCGGAGGTCCGTACTTAACCTGAAACTGTTCTTAACCTGAAGCACCACTTTAGCTAATGGGGCCTCCTGCTGCCGCTGCGCCGCCGGAGCATGATTTCTGTTCTCATCCTGAAGCAAAGTTCTTAACCTGAAGCACTATTTCTGGGTTAGCGGAGTCTGTAACCTGAAGCGTATGTAACCTGAAGCGTATGTAACCTAAGATACCACTGTAAAACGTTTAACAATAAGCAGTGCTTATATTTAGCCACCATTTTATAGTTCAAATCGGGGGAAATAAATACATTAAAGGGACAAAAGTACAAAGATTCACAAAATGTTTAGGGGTATGCGTATTTCTGCATCCCCCAGAAGAAAGCACTGATAATAAGTATTTTTTTAAAAAATCAAAAGTACGATAATCTCTCTGTCTCCTTTCAGAAGCTGTTACCAAGCAGCAGGGGTGGCCCATGCATGAGGCGAGGTGAAGCCATTTGCTTCAGGTGATGGATCTGCCCTCCACCCCATCCCCACCTTTGTGCTGCTCCCAGCCCTGAGGGGCTTCGCCCACACTGCCAAAGCAGACCCGTTGCCCTCACCCCTGCCACAGCGCCCTCACCACGGCACTCTTGCAGCACGGGTGCAGCCACAGTTGAGGGTGCAGTTGCAGTGATGGGGCTGGGGAGGGGACCAGGATCTGAAGCATTTTGCCTCTATTGGCAAGATGTTTTCAGCTGGCCCTGCCAAGCGGCAAATGCTAAACAGGCCTGCAACGGTAAACAGCACCATGCCTCATGTTATGTACTGAAGTTCTCACCCTGGGCCAGCAGGGGATACTGTAGATAGTTATGCAAATGAAGGATCGAAAAGTGACATTCAGTGCTTGGATAGTTTTAGAAAATGGCAACAGTTACATTGTTCTGGAGCTCTACATAAGCAGGCTGACTGAGCTCCTCAGTTTAGTTCTGTTCCAGCTTACAAAATAAAGAGCTGCTTTGGAGAAATCGCTGTGTCGTCTGCAACTTAACACCTCAAATTTTGACAGTTGCTGCACTTTGATATCACCGTAAGTCACCGAAATATTGTTCATCGCACCAAACAGAGACACAGAGAGACAGCAGACTTCCATGGGTGGGTGGGTGGGTGGGTGTTTAAGGGTTATTAACAAAGAAAGAGCTGGAAACAAGGAGACATAGCCCAGATCAAAACGGGGAATTGGAAATCAGTATCAACACAAAAGAGCTGGTTCAAACCGTTTTACAAAGCCTAATGCACACATGTGGGGACTACAGTGACTCAATCTGAAGAAAACTGAGGATTCACACCACTTTAGAGTAAAATGTGGAGGAGCCTAGGG